TCCAGATCCTCTCTCCTCTTTAATCTGAAATCCAGTGGAGTCAGAGTTGCACCCCCACGCTCCAGTAAGATGGCTTCAGAGAGGTCAGCAGTGACCTCCATATTACCAAAACCAAGTGTCAGTCCCAGGACACACCTTACTGGCCTGCTGTCATATAGCTGGTCCTAGTATTCATTTAGAAACATCATCTTCTTTAGCAAGGGGGTCATCACACATTCCTGATTATTTTTCCCCGCACACCCACTGTTCTTTCAGGCTCCTGTGGTGCTGCTCCTTACTTCCTTATGTTAACCTCTCCTATGTATCTCTACCATCAGTCAATACAATCACCTTTGAGGCCGAATTCAGCCTTGAACCTGGTACTCAGAGCCTCCCATTCTGATTGCCTGCTTTTACCATCTCCTCTTTTCCCTTAGCACTCTGTGGTGCTTCAGAGGCCTGTCACCACATCCTGAGAATTGTGCCGTTTCCATTGCACACAAGGAAGCTGAGAATCAGATTTTCCACCACTTCGCATTCCAGATCCTATATTCTTTTGTTTACAACCCATTGCTTGGCCTAGTTCTTCAAACTTGGCCCTAAGTAAAGCAGAGGAGTGAAAGTGAGGTTCCTTCTTTTGGGTTCCAGTCTGGCTGTCTGGATTTCCTCTGTAGAGCACATGTGGTTTACACTCTTCACCCCAGGGGCTTGGTAGTCACGTTCACAGCACAATGGACGCTCTTACTGGTGAAATGCTAACTCTCCCACAATGAAAGGCCAGCTGCAAAGTGGGAGAAGAACAAGGGCTAATGATCCCGTCAGACATCTGTGGGGCCTCCTGGCATTTGGAGCGAGAGTGCCTTAGAGAAACTAACAATTCTGGCCTGAGGGAGTTGGCGACCATTAATCCTGGTGGTTTTGACCGCTGACTGCCCTAGAGGTCCCAGCCTGCTGTGTGACTCAGAACCCCCAACACTCCCCCTATTCTTCTCTCACTGGGACAGTTAGGAGGCCATGTCTAAGGCATTTTAATTTGGTAATAATTGACATGGCCCACTGTACCCAGACTTGCTTTCTAAATGATAGTTGGTTAGTGATCATCATCCTTGATCTTTGACTGCCTTGCATTGCTGTGGGAAGGGTTATCTTCTGCCTCCCCTCCTTGGTTCTGGCTTTCCCTCCAGCTGGCTTAGTGTTCTCTCCAAATTGGATGCCCACAGCCATTTGAACACCCTCTAAGAGCTGAGGGTGTAAACTAGGGAGAAGAAAGATATGGCCAGAGGTTTATGTATACATTTAGTACTACAACACTCGGTGTTAAACTGGGAAGTTGACCTCTATCTTCCAACTTCTTTGGGAAACTTTTGGGAATTCAGAAAGACCACAGGAACTCATAATACAAGTTGGGCAAGAAGAGGGTGGGTGGTCATTTTGCCACAGCATTTGTGTACAGACTTTCAAAAAGACGGGTGAGGCCTTTATGGCCTCCTTCCTACCCATCTCTGGCCACATTCACCACTCCTATGCTGCCACGGGGCTCTGTGCCATCTTCTGTGATCATGTTGCTGGTAGTTTCATGACAGTAGCTCCTGCGTGGTGTTAGAGAGAAGTAGGTGCAATTGCAGTGCCTAGTCCTTACCAGCTGCTCGATCTTGGGCAGGGCGCTTCATCTTTCTGAGCTTCATGTGCAGATTAATAATGCACAGCACCCAGACTCACAGTGTTGTTGAGAGGAGTCGCTGAAAGCTGTCCAGAATGCTTTAGTCACTGCCTAGTCCAAAAGCTTCCAGTAAGCTCAGTAATTGCACTGGCGTTTATATTTCATTTCTAAAATACAGCTGTTTACATAAGAAAATATTGTTTTTCTTCTCTTAGAATCTTTGACTTTCTTTTGCCTACCAAATAAAGTCCCAGCTTGTCACTCAGCATTTGCATTTCAGACTCTGGATTTCTTTGATAGCAAAGACTAAACTGTTGACTTCTAAAAGAAACAACTGTGGAAACAGATGAATTTGTCTATATTCAATAAACAGCTATTTATGTGAGGCCCTGGACTAGGACACCAGGAGTGAATCAGACAACACCTAACAGGTTATGGCATCATTATTTCTGGCTCCCCAGTTCAGATACTTATCCACCCGGACCCCCATCCCAAGTCCCTGAAGAAAGTTGCATTTAGGGCCAGTTTGCCATTGAGCCCAGCTCATTTGAGCAGCTAGGCTCCAGAGAGTTGGCAGTGGACCCAAGAGTGGGGATAGAAGTTGGGACTCAGATCTGGCAGCAGGCCAGGCTCACTCAGGTGCCCCAGCAGGTGGGGCCTTTAGCCCTCATGGTCACTGGGCCCAGTCACTGAAGATGTCCTGGTCTTTTCTAGACTGTTTGGAGCAGAGCTGTAGTGAAGGGTGGCGACTCCAGTCCCACACTGAAACCCAATGATGTGGGGGTGGCCTGGTCATAGCCATATAGCAGCAAAGTCAAGTTTAGAATACAATCTTCTGAAGTGTTTGCAGTCTCTGCCTGTAGCTTCCTGAGATTGCCTGGTCTGCAATGAAGAGTTCAGGGATAATGTCAGGTTCGTTTTGCTTTTTAGAAAGTTATGGAGGTCCTTGGGTGCCTGTCTATGTGCTAGGTGCTGGAGATAGGGTGGAAATCAGACTTTGATCTCAAGAAAGTACAGTATTTACAGGGAAACATGATACCAACAATTACCCACATTATGTCAGTGATGGGCTTGAGTGTGTGGTGTGGATGGAGGGGCAGGGGCTACAAAAGCAGAGAGGCACTTATTCCAATCTGTGGCCCAGGAAATTATTCCCAGTGAAGTTGTCATCTGAATTTAGTTGTGAAGACCCAGGAAAGGGACTGAGTTCAGTCAGAGAACAGGAGAATATCTTCACTAAAAGTCAGGGGTACATCAGTCTAATAACACACATTTATGCATCTCTATTCAGACCCTGTAAATGGTTCCCACTAGGTGGGTCATAGAGGGGTAAAATGAATAAAGACAGCCAGGTGCTGGTGGCTTACACCTATAATCCTAGCTACTCAGGAGACTGAGATCTGAGGATCGTGCTTCAAAGCCAGCCCAGGCAGGAAAATCCATGAGACTTATCTCCAATAAACCACCAGAAAACCAGAAGTGGCTCTGTGGCTCAAGTGGTAGAGTGCTAGCCTTGAGCTGAAGAGCTCAGGGACAGCGCTCAGGCCCAGAGTTCAAGCCCCATGACTGACAAAAAAATAAAAATAAAGACAGGGGAAGCTAGACATGAAGAGACATGCCAGGCACATGAAAAACGCAGTTGCTGTGGCTTTCAAGGCCTAAGCATTTCTGTACTCCAGCACTCCGGATGGCCATCTGCTGTTACCTCGTCCAGGAGAAAGCAGCAGCAACGGTGGTGAACACGTACACTCATCTTTGGATGAAATCTGAAAGAAGTTTTATGAGGCAGGGGCTGAACAATAAGGGGGAAAAAAAACCCAAACATTAACAGAGGGCTCACAAATGGCAGAAGGAAGGGCAGCTACTCAGGGTGGAAAAGAAAAACATTGAATGTCTTGGTTATCTCCTATCTCCTTCCTTCCAGGTAGTCCTGAAGTTGGTGGATCATATCCCTAACTTCTGCTGATTGACTAACATCTGGCAGCAGGATAGGGTAGAGCATGGTGGGCTGGTTAAGAATAACCAGTCAGAAGCTGGGACTGGATTGGAGTGTTAAGGGATTGGGTAGGATCATTGCCTGTAACTGGACTATTGATGTCTGGACTATAAAGTATGAATGGAAGACCCAGGAAGGTGCCAGGCAAACTATCCTGAGTCCAGGACTTACTATAAGTAGAAATAGCAGGTAGCAAAGGCAAGAACGTAAGTTCCTGTCTAGTTAGAAGAAAGACATGTATGAACATTAGATAGGCATGCTTATGAACTATTTCCTTTTGACCTTAGGTCTCTGGTTAGTTTTGAAAAAGCAAGCACAAAGTGAGTCCATCTCCTCTTACTTGCATAGTTTTTTCCAACTGCCTCTGAATGATTTACTCCTTGCTATGACCTCTCATCACCAGGACACTCCCAGGGTGTTGGGGAGGTCTCTTCTTTTTGGGATGATTCCCATTTGGCATTTTTGCTTGTTGTTGGGATAGCATGTCCCAGTTGGCATATTTGCCCAAACATAGGGCCCACAGATGGGAATCACTCACCAGACATAGAGGGGAGACGGTATGGTAGATGACAGTGTAGAGGATGCACAGCCAGCAGTGGTAAAGATGGGAAATCCAATATCGGGTTCTTTCAGCAGTCTGGGTCCTAAGGGGGAGTCCAGGAGGTGGATTGGACCTGGGCGGGGAGAAATGGAGAGGATCCAGCAACTCCTGACACTCTCCAGTCCTGGGTTTTGGCACCAGATGTAAAGGTTGCTGAAAAGAGACCACCACGTAGTTCAGGCAGAAAAGAATTTATTTGAAAGAGCCAAACTGCTGGGCTGCACTATAGAGTGTAGCAGCTTGACTGATGGCAGAGGGAGATGATATAGGAAAGGGTAAGAAGGAGGTGTGGCCATAGCAGATAAGGAAGGCCCCCAGGCTCTGAGGGACCTCCCACTAACTTCTAGGTGTGCACTGACCAGTGGTTAGTGGTTAGAGGTGATGGGCAGGGACTTCTAGGGAGCCCCCTCCCCCCAGTTTTGTACAGGGAGAGAACAAAGGGGAAGGAGGCTACCTGCTGTTTTGCATGAAGAGAAAACAAAAGGAAGGAGCCATTTTTCATGGGTGAACAGTAATGATTTCCTCAGAATCAATCATGCTTATCGCAAAGAATCTATGTGAAACTTGTGTGTTTCTTTTACAAATTCCATTGAGGGGGCCTTATTTGGGGGAATTTTCCATCTCTAAGGCTTGGAGTAGAAAAGTGTCTGAAGTGCTAACTGTAGGGAATGAAGCTTTCTTCAAGAATTTAGTCTCTTCAGGAAGTAATAACCCACGTGCTGCTCAGTGCCTGGCAAGTTGTGACCTTCCTTCTCTTCCCACAGGCCTGCTGAGTTAGCCACCAAGTACGCAAACTTTTCAGAGGGAGCTTGCAAACCTGGCTATGCTTCAGCCCTGATGACTGCCATCTTCCCCAGGTAAGTGCTTCTGCTTCCTCAGCTGCCTACACAGTCTGGTCTGTAGCCCGAGAATCAGAAACCTGGCCTCTTACGGCATATCATATTTTTCTGAGGAAGCAAGGTGATGCCTTTTGTGTCTAGAAATGTACACGTGCCTGGAAAGGACTTTGCTTTTGGCAGTTACACCTAGTCCCACTCAGTGCCTTCACCATGCCTATCCATCTGCTTCTTGGACTTGCACCTGACAGGGCAGCTTGTTTTGGAGAATGACAGAAGGTAGGTCACCCCACAGAAGCTAAGTATCTGGAACTACTAGGCAAGGCTGTCAAGTGGAGACACACTTTAGTCCTAGTGTTAATGATCAAACAAGCTGAGACTAACAGGCTTTAAAGAGGTATATCCGAATAAAGCAAAGAAAGCCACGTGCCAGAGGCTCACGTCTGTAATCCTAGCTACTCAGGAGGCTGAGATCTGAGGATCACGGTTCAAAGCCAGCCCAGGCAGGAAAGTCAGTGAGACTCTTATCTCCAATAAACCACCAGAAAACCGGAAGTAGCAAGCGGTAGAGCACTTGCCATGAGCTGAAGAGTGCAGGGACGGCGCCCAGGCCCAGAGTTCAAGCCCCATGACAGACAAATGAAAAAAAAACAAAACAAACAAGCAAAGAGCAAGAACTACTTCCTGAGGCTGTCCAAATTTAGCCCTTCCCACTCTTCTATTTTGCATTCTGGAAGTCCTGATTTCCTTGATGTCAGACTTGCCAAAGGAATCTCTGCCCAACCAAATATTGCTGATAGGCTCTACTCTGTTGACTCTCTTCTTTATTGTCTGAAACCTTGGTGTGGGAAGGGATTGAAGATTTTAAATTGTCTTGTTTTGTCTTGTCTTGGAATGCCTTGAAAATATCAGGATTACTTGCTTCCTTCAGAAAGTGATGGAAGCTTGTGACTCCAGGGGGATGAGGAAGGCTGTTCAGGACCCTCCAGGACCCTTTGGGTATTAGGATATAGCACTTGGATCATTGGAAGGAAGAGTGCTGAAGGTGGCTATGCCCACTACAGGAAGGACTTGCTTTCCACCATTAGAAGGCCGAGATTAGGCACACAATGTGCTTGCAAAGGAATGCTGTTCATGGGGCTGGGGTGCCTTGCATGCTCGAAGCCCTGGGTTCGATTCCTCAGCACCACATAAGCAAAAAGAAAAAAGCCGGAAGTGGCGCTATGGCTCAAGTGGTAGAGCACTAGCCTTGAGCTGAAG